TATATATATAAAATACCTTTATCGTTCAATTACATTTCTTTTGTAAATTTCATTTCCCTGCATTACTGTCTGGTTCCAGAGACATAGAGTGCTGTGCAAAAGTCGTGAGCCACTCATTTCTTTAAATTTTGCTAGGAAATTGGGAAATAGGTGCAGTAACTTATTGAAACATTTAGACACATGGAAATACAGTTTCTAAGGAAAAAAACCTCAATATTTGGTATGACCACATTTATTCTTTAACACAGCCTGAACTCTCTTAGGCAACCTTTTTGTAATTTCTTTAAGTAGTCTTCAGGAATAGTTCTCCGGTCTTCTTGAAGGACATTCAAAGCTCTTCTTTTGTTCTGTTCTCTTTCAAGATGAGCCCACACTGCTTCAATAACGTTGAGGTCTGGGGTCTGAGGAGGCCAATCCACGACTGATAGTGTTCCTTTCTGTGATTTGTACCCAAAAATTCTAATTCATATTCATCAATTCATAAGCCCCATTGTCACAGATTTTTGGTCCAGTTTTTGTGTAATTCGGCATACCTCATCCTTTTCTCCTCATTTCTGCCTTAAGAAGGGCAGAAAACCATTTCTGATGAGGCTTGAACAGTAGATAAATCAGCTGAAGGGTCAGGTATACCCTTCAGGTCCTGTATCAGGGCTTTGCTGGATTTTCTTTCTAGTAGATCTTTAGGAGTCACCTTGTTGGAGCAAAACTACTATTTGCCTGAAAAACTGTTATATTTTGTAGATTCAACTAAAGAAGTCTTTGTTCTTTTTAAGTGCCCAAAACTACCAAAATAACTTATAATTGGTTCTTTGACAAGTTGTCTGTTATGTGAAGACACAGCACTCATCATCCCTTGAGTTAGGTGCCTTTTTTTAATGCGTGAATGATTCCTAGCACAGCGTTTAGTGGTTTAACAAACAAAAACATTTCTATATAAATGGTTGGCTACAAAGACTGGACTGAAAGTGAGTGAGAAAGTAGCCAATATCCAAAGAAAACCTTTGAAAGACCTTCAGAAAACCTGGAGAACTATTGCTTAAGACCACCTAAAAAAATTACAAGAAAGTCTGGCTCCTTGTATGCAAAATATAGAAATGATGGTGGCTTTTGCACAGTACTGTATTCATGGTGAAAAATACTACATTCACTTTTTCTGGTGGCATGCAGCTAGTTCTGAATTAATTGTTTCCATTTGAAAATCTCCCATTTCGTTTGTTTTTTAAGATTTCTGAATGCAGTGGAGATGAACTGAGTTTTATTTATAGAGTTCTTACAGACTGGGAGTTAACACAGTATGTTAGTGTGGACAAGTCTTAAACCACTTTGTCAACATTTTCTTAAGTAGAAAGTAGCTTCAACAGAAAATGTTCATTAAGCACCACAAAATAAATCCCATGCACTTTGTTGCATTGAGGTGTACATACTGTAGCTGTGTAGCTGCATGCTTTTAGAGGTAAGTGAAACAATCCTTTAAAGGAAGACTGTAAAATTTGCAACAAGATACGACGCACTTCCTCTCTATGAAACTAAATAGAGTTAAACTTGTTTAATTGATAGACCATAAAACGCACTCCCAATACTTTCAGTACAACGAGGTGTTTTGTTGCTATAGCCTTAGTCGGTCTGGTATGGCCGGTGCCTGAAGTTAGCCATAACGCTTATGTATTTCAGCACTTTGTGGTTATTTGCTGCCATGTATTAAGAGTGTCACACATACAATTTACAGTGTAAGAATCAGAAAATACATGATAGAATAAAAATGAGAAAAGAATAACAATCCCCACCCCACCCCCAAAAAACAAAAACAAGTATTTCATGAGGAACTGCACCCTAAAAAGCAAGTATTTCATCAGGTTGTTGTAAACTATTGGCTGCATTTTATTTCCCAGGATAGCAAACAAACAAAATCTCACTTCAGTTTATATCAAATACAGTTAAAAAAAAATTATACTGATGCTTTTATTTGTACTCCTCGACTGGAGTGTAACATCTGCTTCCACGTGTTGGCCTGCAGCCCTGAAAACCTCGTGTGTAATCGTACTGTATATCTGCACAAAAACCTGTGTGTGTTTGCGAGCGCACGTGTGTGTGTGTACAGTAATTGTGTATATCACTGTTGAGGGAGCGAAGGATTACTTTGCAGGAGATCATTTTGTGTTACTGAGGTAGAATGAGAGATTAAGAAGCTGAAGGTAACTGAGGTTTAAATGAGGTCTTTGTGTCAAGGCATACTGGTAATGTCAAATACAGATCAGAAATGCACAACAAACACAGCACCATAATTTTTTCTGAGTAGACAACATGTTCCTGAATAGTTTTGTACCTGAGGTTTCAATATGGTGTAAAAGCACTGTTAATAGTGAAATCCTGAGTGAAAAAAATAAATGACATGTCAACATCCTTGTTGACTAAATGATGTGTGAAGGGTTTCGCTTTTCTAAATGAAATATTCAAACAATTTCTCTCAAATCAGCTGCTGGATTGAAGAAAAACAAAACCCTGAATGTCACTTTTTTGGATCCAATTTAATCTTTTTTTTTTTTTTTTTTTTTGTAAGGCGCCCCTGCCCCGCCCCTCAAATAATTTGATATTTCATTTTCAGTTTAAACCTTTCACACAACTTTTATAATAATGACTTCAGCGCACCATGTCTATATTGTAACGATGTTTCATACGAGGGTTTGTGATATTTGATTTAGAAACATGTTTCAATAAAAACAATTCAGTTTGGTTCCTTTGTTTTTCTTAACCAGTCTCATTTCAGCCAGCAGCCCAGTCCCCTCTCCATGCAACCGCCACACACACGCGCTCACACTCAACCATGCACACTAAGGGGTTCAGGAAAGCTGGCATACTTGTAGGAATAGTTAAATTTTTATGGAAAATGCACCCTTTTTGTTTTTCCTTTACTGCTTAAAGTCACATGAGAAGCAGGCACGTCTAAAAAGACCACAAAAACTGCTTTTACATTTTTAGATTTCAGAAATGAGACAATATTTGTGTGCGAGCTTTAGAGATGCTGCAGGTATGAACGGCATATTTATATGTGAAAATGGTATGTCTCAGTAAAAGAGAATAAGTGCATTTCCCAAAAAGTGGAACTATTCCTATTCAATAAACCTTACTGAAAGATCAAATACTCCAATGTTAAAACACAGTTTGCTCACCAAAAATCCAAAACTCTTAAATTGATAACAAATCCAAGGTATCACATCAGGAGAAGAAATTACTGACTGCAATTACTTTTGAGTGTGTGTGTGTGTCTGTGTGTTCCTGAATCCCCATCACAGATAGGAGTCAGATTTAAACCCCTGTTTATCTGAGGCCAAACCTTGAGGTAGGTAGAGAGGTGCCCTATCTACTCCCCTTCCTCCTGTGCTGCCGCCTGAGATGACGAGGGACCCTCCTCAGCCTCTTCTGAAGCGCCCTGGAACAGCAGGACACCCAAAAAAAACAAACAAAAAAAAAAAACCCAAAAGACTTTTTCACTTTGTTGTTATCTCTTTTGGTCTACTGACTCATGATGCTCAAGCACATGAATCAATACTAGAAAACGCACGAGAATACAAGAATGACTGTTAAAATCTCATGGAGCGATTGCGTGCGAGGAAGCAGGTTCCAGCTGTCAGACCCAGAAATGTGAGGAAGATGACAGTTACATCAGGAAACCAAAAAGACAGGGGAAGAGAACAGTTAGAGCAGGTTTCCCCTCACTATATTGACTCATTCTTCCCCTTCATGTGTGTGCGTCTGAGAAATGGAGTCTGTCTCAACGGTTTCAGTTCTTAAAGCATCTCAACCCCTTTGACAAACTGCTTAGTGGAGAAGATGCGATAAGACACACGAGGGGCATCAAGAGAACTGCCCCGTTTCGGTGAGAACTGTTGTGCAACTTCATTTGAAATTCAAAAAAAAAAAAAGAAGAAGAAGAAGAAAAAAAAAATGGCTAAACGAACCAAAGTTACAGAGAAGCACTTGGTGTCACAAGACGATGTTTCTGGCGGTTTATCTGGGGAATTTAGCAACGGCATCTGTGAATTTTCAAGAATTTGGCATATCCTCATGAAGTCAGTGTACATGAAGCGCAAGAAGCATGTGCATTCACAGCTTTGCTATCAAATGTGCTAAGGTAATGAGTTTTTAAGTGGTTTTATAGTTGCATTTTAGTAAAAATGTGCCAAGGCCTGAGAAGGTTATAACATACACAAATCCTACGAGTACTGAACTGAAACACAGTATTGCGCAAAGTGAAATCCATATATTTAAAAAGAGCAGATACGCAACGTGCAGGGGAGTAAAAAGGATTAATTAAAGACAATGTGCTTCAGAACACAAAAAACAAGGCAGTTTCGCTTCTTGAAAGTCTTTCCCTTTTACAATTGTTAGATTTTGGGGCACTTTTCAGAAAATGGAATTATTTGGGATGTTCTTCTATGAACAGATACAGAAAAATATAAGGAAAGGCTTTATTTTGACACTGGTGTCACTTGCTACTTTACCAGTACTGCAATACAAATCAACAGTACTGCAAATTTATCAGGCAGTTTAACTGGACACTTTTCAGAATATGGACCATGATCGTTATGGTGACACTTAATGCATTAAGTGTAGCCCACAAAGTGGCAGCTGAGTGTATACATATAGCATAAAGGACTTTACTGTTAAAATGACAAAGCCAGAGGATGGGATTCTGTGCCACGACCAGTTTAAAGTCAACAGGCTGCACATCACTAAGCCTAATTTTATATAACCTGCAGATCCTAGTAGATTAGCGGCTGTGTTTCCATCATGTCTCTCTCTCTATCTCACTTTTATTGCCATCAGTAAATCCTACCAGGACTAAAAGCATCTTTAAAAAAAAAACAAAAAAAACAGTATCTGCAGCGTCATGGAGGATATGTCAACACCATGTCATTTTAGGGACTTAAGTTTGTAAGTTACTGAGTATACTATATTAAATATCTTAAAGGGGGTGAATAACATTTAGTAGAAAATATTTATTTGTATTATATAAATATTCATCACTAGTTGGTGCAACTTTCTACAAACCTTTACCTACTAGTTTCAAGCAGATTCAATATTTTAAAACTTAATGTTAGACATTTTTTATTTGTATTTTGCTCTTCGTTTTAGGTATTTATCAAAACCTGTGAGTAGACTGGTTATGAAAATGTACAGTGCATACACTACTTGTGCAACTGTTAATGTTTTTGTTTTGTTGTTTTTTTACTCACCCTGTAGAGTTTGCAGGCCAGATAATAGCGTGTTGTTTTAGTTGCAGCTTCACTAAAAAGTACAAGGGACTTTTGAATGTCGTTTTTCTTTGATGATGAACTTTTGATATTAATAAATAAGATAAGCTATGCAAATCAGCACTGCAGGTCTCACAACATAAATGTAACTGACATTAGTCAAAAGGTAAATGTATGACACAAAATGAGATTTCTGCCCAACTGAAGCAGGGCTCACATTACACCACAGTCAAACTCTGAAAGTGACTTATAATAATACAGATTACACTGCAAGAGACTTCAATGATTTGATGATTGTAAATGTTTTAAGGATTCCGCCGCAAAGCCACAGCTAAGTTTGTTAAGCCATAAATTTGATATAGTGGGGAACGCGGCTGTGAATGTTAAGTGGTTTACTTTATTTTGTGAAGTTGTCTCAAGCGTATCTTAAACACAGGCCCTAATTCCATTATTCAAACAGCGGCCCTTTCACAACAACAACAGCGTTTCAGTTGTGGGAACGTGCGTCTCAAAGTGCTACATCAAAACAAAACCGGACCACCCTACTGCACTTTAAAGATTTCGTTTTCCTCACCTGCTGTTCTTCAGTTACTTCTAGCACTACTTTCTGGGGCTGTGAAAAGAGAGGCAGCAGAATTAATTAAACATGAAGGAAAACGAGCCCTCAAGGACTGCTCAGCTCCAGCATACACAGACACCTTGGAGGCTTTGGACATACATTTACAATTAACTCCATGAATGTCAGTGATTGCTTCATACCCATTTCCTTGGTCGCCCACGTGGTCGCTTCTCTCCAATGGGCTCTACTTTCTGCAGAGGAAGAGAAAAACGGTTGAAAACACAAATCCTGTGGTTTTCTTTAGAGTATTGTAGTTTTTCAATCTTCAATCCAGCAGCCATATTTATTTGCTAGATACAGTTTCCTGTAGGTCAAGGGGGGAACACCCCTCTCAGGAGTGGCATCATTTCCTTAATTAAAGAAACATTTTGGTGAATACTTTGATGGGGCTGTACAACTCCTGTTGGTAAAGTCAACAGTTGAAACAAAACTTCAGAATTTAGTGCAAAAAAAATAAATAAATAAAAAAATGCAAGGGGTAGGAGATGTATGCATGTTCAGTGCCTGCATAGATGAACAATATGCCAAATTAAAGTTTTCGCAGGCATCAGCATGTGCAAAGTTTACTTGGCCTATCACAACCAAGTAAAATGATTTTAAACAATTAAAGAGGAACGTTTAAATTAACATTCGTGGAGTTCTTTTCTTTAAAATCCATCTGTTCTGAGAAATGTTCAGGTTGAAAACACAAAGGATGGATTTGTGTGATTTGCCATGTCTAATTGCAGGCTTATACATGAAATACCTCTCTCTGCCATGTTGTAACAAGTTTAACAAGCTCAGTTGCCTGACAATAACACTTCCCCCTCAGAGCTAGTGATGAAGAATGAAAAAGAAATCTTGTGAGTCTGATGTCTCCTGACAAAACAGAAAAATGTCAAATTATATTTTTCAGCATATTTTTGTATGATTAGCCAAATAGTTGATCCACTACAAGATGTGGATCAATGATGATGATGATGTCACACCTTCTACAGCAAGTTTTCTTTACTTTTAAACTACAGTGAAACCCAATTTTTTTATATGCACACAAATTTCTGTCTAATTTTACAAGCAGCAAAACGATGAATATTGGTTGGTTTATATGGGAAAAGACTAATCAAATCATTCATGAGTCTATTGCCAGAAAATTGCTGATCTTTACAGTAAAATAAGTCTTTAAAGCTGGTGTAAGCAAGGTGGTGTAAGCAAGTCCATCCAGTCTGATACTTCCAACCATTTATGTAATGTAATCGTTGTTCCTGACAAGACAACGTTTTATTTGTCAGAATAATAATGCATGAGGCATAAAAACTGCGGTGGTTTAACTTGAGCTCGTCTTTCTTTCCGTCTTTGTTTTGCAACCTCATATTTGCCCTTGTGATGGCTGCTTTGTAGCCACAAAAGTATAATTGAATTAAATTGTATTACACACAAAAAAAACCCTCACTAACACGGGTACATTGCAAAGTTAAGCCCACTAAGATTGCAAAGTCTGAATTATTTTTTAAAAAGTGCAGAGACTGTCACTAAACCCTAAGCACCTGCATCTATTTCAGCTTTCTTATTATGCCAATTTCAATTATGTAATATCTGGTTATTTGAAACAAATTAACTGTGATGAAATTATACTCTGATCAGTTTCAACCTTCAGTGCAGTTCTGGGGCCTTTGTTCTTGCTGCCTTTTGGTCGTCCTCTTGGCCGCTTTGGAGTTGGTGGTCCAACAGGCTCCTGTGGAGAAACATTAGATGTGGATCTAGTAGATGTAAACACGCCATCGGCTCAGTAAGGCAAAGCTCATCACATTCACACGCTTAATAAATGGAGTCCTACCTGCTGCTGTTTTCTTGGTCGACCTCTGCCCCTACGCTGAGGCTCAGGAGGTGACTGGGCAGTGCTTGGCTGAGGAGATGGCTCTTTGGTCCCACTGTTACTCATGCCTGCGTCTGTCCACCTGCTTCAAACTGTGTGGGCATCAAAGCCTGGAGCAGCGGCCTCGAGGGCTTAAAGAGGAGCAGAGTTGAGTATCAGGAGCTGGAGATGCGAGCAGAGGAACGTGGAAAAAATGACTCGTTTTGAATGCAGCGCAGCAATCGTCTCTGACAAATTTAGCATAATCAGCTCTATTATACCACTTCAAATAATTTTCTTTTTGCACAATTACCACAATGAGTTCCAATCAGTGCTTAATGACATCATTAACAGGATAATTCAGGATCACACAGGACTCTTTTCCAAGAGCAAGCGTGGGAACTGCTTATACATAAGCCTTGGCACCAGGTTCATCGGAACACAGACAGGGGTCTGGCAAATGCAAGGAAACATGAGAATGGTGTGCAGAGACTAAAAGTAGCACAGATATTCACAACTCAATCTACCATCCAAAATCTGCATCTACTGTACTACACTCCCCACTTCCATCTGCCCTCTGCTAGGCGTTACATGTTGTACGTGTGGTGATGCGACATTTTTAAATGTAAAACTTGTGCAACTCAGACAATGATTTGCAAGAAATGAAAGACGCTACATGCAAAAGCTTAACAAAAAGAATTGAAACTACTAGTAAATTTACAGTTTGGAGCCTGTAGTGCAAAACTGGGAAATAAAGCTACAGCTATTTGGATAATGTAAGAGTCATTTAATTTCTTATAGTAATGTGTAAGGTTTAGGTGAATATATTTGGTTTGGTCAAAAAGGTAGATTTACAAAGTAAATCTGTAATCTAAAAATAGGCCTTTACAGCTGATTAACTGTCTACTCAATAAAATGGCGAGAAATGGCCTTCACAGCTCCTGCAGCCCTTCAGGACGTCTTCGTGTCGCTTGGACTGCCTAACCAACATTCAGGTGGCTATAACGTTTGCATTTCTGCATGAAAACTAAAAAAAACCCCAAAAAAACCTACTTTGCACGTTAAATCGATTTTCACAACAATTGCCAGTTAAGTCTTTGTAAAAAATAAATTAATAAATTAATTTTAAAAAATCAATTGGTGAATTATTTTGTCGACTGACTTGTTTCAGCTCTAGTTGCAGCCCATCACGGGCCTGATTAATAGCACTGGTACTGTAAACATTGTATATTCCACTTTGATCACTTGTAAACGTGAAGGATTTATTTCCATGGGTGGAACAAACAATAAATAACCACTTAAAACTGACTTTTGGTAATGTCCCAAGGTGGTCGCTTACCACAACGGGCAGCTCTGCGAGGAATGTGCCAAACTCTAATTGCCAACACAGCCTATCAAAAACGGCCGCACCGAAGCAGGAAGTCGGAGTAATTTGAGAAATACGTCCTCGCTTGAAACGATTTAAAGCCAAACGAGACGCACGACGTCGTTTCGTCGCTTTTAAAACTCGTTTCCAAACAGCTCAACAGGCGACGTGCACTTCTCTTGCAGCAGCAGACCGTCCGCTCAACTAGTCCGCGTTTGGCAGTCAAGTACGGGACTGAATGTACTTTTTGCATATGGGCGGCAATTGCAACCATAAAAACACATTCTTTTACAGCGTTTACCAAGGTGCGCGAGGCGCTCCTGAAGCGAAGCCGTGAGCCCAAAGCGTCGACTTGAGTTTGGTAACTGGCACATGCAAACGCCAAAACAACAGTCGAGCAACAGGCCAGCAGTGTTTTAAAGCGTAAAGTCGACGCTGACCAAACAACATCCCCCTGCTTCCATCACTTGCGCAATCGATCTCTAATGTGTTTGGGTTTTTGGACCGATAACAGGTTCGCCAAAGTGGATGAACCGTGTGCTAGAAAGAGCTGGAGGAAGAAGGAGGAAAAAAAAACTTTGCCAAGGACAAAGGCAAGCAACACAGGTGCAAAACCTCTGCTTTCAAAAGCAGGACATACATTTAGGCTATAGGCTCCATGTTCTGGCTGAGCAATCCTGCCCATGCAGCCAGCGCCAAATAACAGAGGGAGCAGAGGCGGTTCGACTTACCTTAAGTTGGTTTGCAGTTTTACCTGGAAGTTCACACACACTCACTCCACTTTGTGCTCCTGCACAACTATGAAAATCTTAGTGTATCGACCGTCTCATTGGCTGGAATGAAAGGGTAATCTCTCTCTCTCTCTCTCGCTCCCTCGCTCTCTCTCTCTCTCTCTCTCTCTCCCTCCCTCCTCCTAATCGGAAATGTGTGTGATCCCCCCAGACGTCCAGTCACGAATACCCCAGATGCAGTATAGTGGGGGGTTGTAGCAGAGCAGTATGCATTGCATACTTTCTCTATTAAAGCATGTTTCAAGAAAGAACGAGGGTAGGAGGGTTGAAACAGCGGACCCCGCCCCTAAAAGCTCCCTGGACCACCCACTTAAGAGGGAGAAAGACGGGCATCAGACAGGAGGGTCTGGTTCCGGGGTTCCCAAAGTGGGGTTTGGGGGCTGGGAAGTTCCCCAAAGAAGGGAGGAAAAGGTTCAGTTTGTTTCAGCAGAACAGAGTGGTGAGAGCAGACTGTCTGCACTGTTTCAAGCAAAAAGTTTCACTCTCTGTCCCTCTGTTATCTCCCCACCTACAGTGCTAAGAGATGTTAACTGTGTCATAAAGGAATAAAACATCAAATGGAGTTTCAGAAGAACAAAGTTTGCTCAGCAGCACTATCATATACATTTTCTTTAGGGGAAAATGTAACCCCGGCTCAGCTCATTTCAAAAACTGTGCTACGTGCAAAGAGCATTTGAAGTCATCAGCAGAAAAACTTATAGAGCACGCAAAAAGTTGCGATTAGATGCAGTCTTTGGATTTTGTATTCAAGTACTTTTAACAAGCGTAGCCCAGTTATTAAAAAAAATTATACAACTGTTTATTTTCAAATAATAATAATGAAATAATAATAAGTCAACATGGAGCATTTTTAGATTAAAAGATGCCTTTCTGTGTGGATTTCTGCTTTACATGCTGCCTGTGTGCAGCTGGAAAAAAAACCCTAAAAATAATATATTTTCAAGATGTAACTTTTTGCGTTTACACAAACTGATAAAATTGGATGGAAATGTTTGAACCACCGCAGTGAATACACATTCCAGGGGCAGCTGCTGCTGCCACTGGACCGCTCACGGAGTCATGTCAGGTGAACACGTTGGCGTGCGACCAAAATATAAAGCTTTAAGTTAAAAAAGATGAAGCACGGAGATTAGTTTGGGTGATTTGCAGCGTCATTTTTATCATGTAATTAATACATTGTTAAACTGAACATCTTGTGAAACCAGAAAAAATAATAATAATAATAATAATAATGATTCAACCAAACATAGCCTATATGTCTCAGGTTATTACCATAAAACGCACAAAAGCAAAATAAAGAAGAAAACATCTGCATTTGTTTTTTTTATGGCAGCATTTATTACAGATTTCAGTCGGGTTTCCCAGCAGCTTTTGTCAACAGTTACTTAGAACTGGTAGTCATATACAAATTTTCATTAGTCATCTACTATAAATATTACTAAATGAAAGTGAACAGGATGACTCTGAAATCACAACCACCAGTCTGCTGTTTCCAAACACTCTATAGAACAGGAGCATAACTGGCCATCATCAGTTAGACAGGAACGCGGTCTAAGCTTTTCTCTTATCGGGTTCTATTTCTGCAAAAAAATATAAACATAAATCTTGGGATTATCTGAGATGAAAAAAAGTTTAAGTTTTACTGAGAAAGACACAGAAAGATAGAATGGGGGAGAAGGTAGAGGTAGGGGGAGGAGGTGGTAGTGGTGGTGGTGGGGAGGGGGGGTCGCGAGAGCGAAATTATGCGTGTGTGTCAATGTATGAGAGAGTTCACTGGCCTTCCGCGGCGTGTGGTGTGTCTGAGATTCGGTTGGACTCTGATCTTGAGGTTTATTTAAGCTAAATTCCGTGGGCTCATCAGGACCGCGTTACAAAAATCCTCCTATAGAACTAGAAAGAATGTGCAACGCATACAGTTCTGCATAAGGCACAAAGGCATGTCTTTAGAGGTGGGGGCAGGCATCAAAAGACAGGCAGAGGAGGGATTTCTTTAGAGGCTGGGGGCAAAGAAGGTATTTCAGAGTTCCATTCATTGCCAGGGAGAGCAGGGGAGGCGTACAGTTTTGCAATAAAGGGTGCATTTCCAGGGGATGTTAGGAACTCCGAAACTGTGCCGTAAACCTCTGCACCCCTGCTCTAACTGGAAGTTAATTAGGGACGATATTTTCCTCTGACTCCTCGGGGGCTATATTTGATTTGATTCATTTGAAAGCTTTTAAATCTTTTTAGAAGTTGGTGCAAAAACGGGTAAAATTAGGAGCCCTTTAATCCCTGTTTGTGGTGCATAAACATTACAAAAAAAGGTAAAAAAAAGAAGAAAGAAAAAGTAGTTGTGAGCAGATAAACATTTATCAGGGTAAAGGCGAATAAAGACTGGAAAAGTAGTGGTAATAAAAATGAAAAATCTCATCAAAGTAAAACTTTGAAAAGCAGCTCACATTTTTATGATGAACCTTTTCCGCATGGCTTTTTATTTTGCATGTCAGCGTGCGTGATTATTGAGTTCTTATTATTTTGGCATATCTGTTGGTTTCTGGCTGCCAGCAGCAAAAAAAAAAAACAAAAAACAAAAAAAACCTGGATTCTGATCCACCTAATGTTAGTTATTGCGACTGAAAGGATTCATTAAATCATGCAGATGTAATGCAGACATAACAGAAGAAATCCCGAAAGATGCATTACTACAAAACATTTTTTTCATAATATAGTAATGTAATAGTAATACAAGTCATATAACACATTCTAATTATAAATCTGGATTTGTGTTAGGGATAGATTTTATAGACAAAGAGGCATCTGAGAAGAGGAAAAGTGTACATGTTCAGCGCATGAAAAGGTCTCGCAAGTTTTGATAACACTCAGAATAATCAGTTCTGTGTTTGACGGCGCTTTCTCTTTCTAAGCCATCTCCATGACTTTCTTTATCCAGTCCACGTACATAGACACGCGAATAAAGATGTTGGGCTGCCCCGGGTGTCCACAGCGCCTCATGGGGATGATCACCCCCTCGAGTACCCAACAGTCCGTGTTCTGACACGCCAGAGGTCCGCCGTAGTCTCGCTGCAGACACACAGGAACAACACTCCGGGGTCATTATTTGTCTCTGTTATGACTGACTGTCACTGCTGAAGTTAGAAACATCTTGCAGTCACATCTTGTCCAGTTCACTTCCATTATCCAACTGGTGACTGTGTTTGATTTATAGGAACATATAAATAACTGTATGCGCTTTGCTTAAAGTAACTTTCATTATCAAACAGTTTTCCCAGCCATCAGTATTTGAAGCGTTAAGTCCTAACACGTTACGCCGTTATTTTGTGGCACTTAAGGAACATAGTTTGACACTTTGGGAAGATACTTGTGTTCACTTTCTTGCCGGGGGTTTCAAGTATCTACACTTTTAACACAAAGCTAGACAAGCAGTTGGTTAGTTTAGCTTAACACAAACAGCGGCGGAAACAGCTGGTGGAACCAGCTGGATCGGCTCTGCCCAAAGGTAATGAAATCCACCTACCAGGACCTTATAAACTCACAGCTTAAGAGAACATTTAAACAGTGTCTCTTAAACTCACAGTTTAAGCACGTACTTTCCCATTTTTAAACATCAAACTATTCTATTAATTTTTACAGCTATTAATACCAAAGATGGTCAGTGCTGTGTTTCTGTTATGACTTGGTTAAGAAACCACTTCAAGCAGGGGACCTTGCATTTCTCCTGTAACATCGCAGCAGCAAAGTTTTGAAATGGTCCACCACTCTTACGCAGATACGTACCTCGCACGCACCTACTCCAGCTTGGAAGGCATTTGTGCACATCTCATTTTCACGAACACGACCTCTGAAGTATTTGTTGCACTCCTTGTTACTAATAACAGACATGTGGGCCACATTGAGGACAGCCTCATTACCAGTCCCTTGAAAAAGATTAAGAAGAAGGAATTAGTTAGCAGCTAATGTATTTAGGGGCATAGTGAAACGAAAAGGAAGTTGGACAGCTGTTGAAAGATTTTGAAAATAGCAGTGCCATCTGTTGCTCAGTAGCCTGGATAGCCCTCATTTAGAAGAAACATTACTTCAAGGGCAGAAACAAGATGCTCGTTCTAGGAAAGACACCTTTTATTAATTATTCGAAGTAGAAGGGTAATGCATGAAGTCGGCACTTCCGAAGGATTATACTTGCCTCTTGTCTCGCCCCATCCTGCAATTTCACACCTCGTCCCCTCGCTTACAATGTAGCGCTCAGGAGGGAGGCAAATCTGAGAGACACGCTCATTAAACTCGGCCGGGCTACAGAAAGAAAGGGAGGAGGAAAAAGAGTCAGGAGGACTTTTAGGTATATGTCTGTGTACATATGCATGCATGTATGTGTGTGTGTGCGTGTGTGTGGTGGGACCTGACAGTACACACTATTCCAGTTGTAGCATGACCAGTTGAGACTCGGAAGGTCCGCAAACAATCTTAGTGAGAGGGATGGTTTGCACACCTGGTTCTCCTTCTTGAGGATCACGAAACAGAGTTCCCATCTTGGCTGAATATCCAGGCAGGTCAACGTAGCTATGCACACATTCAGACGATTAAGCACTATCAATATATATTAAAGCATTTTTGAGTTTTGAAAGTTTGAAAATATACTTATTTACTTTCCTGATGAGATTTAAATGAACGGCTTTTTCTCTCTATCATATCTGGATGGTAAATCTGAAGCTTTGTAAACTGAGAAACTGAGAACTGAGAAATTTAGACATGTCTTAGAAATATCCAAAGTCTAACAGTAAGTCAGACCTATTAGAGATTTAATTTAAATTTCACACTTTTATATGCACTCACCAACCACTTTATTAGGTAGCAATTAGGTTCCTAAAACTGGGTTAGGACCCGTTCTGCCTTCACCACATTCAGATTCTATTGGATTAAGTTCTGGCGACTGTGGAGGGCATTTGAGTAGACTGAACTCACAGTCATGTTCAAGAAACCAGTTTGATCAGAAGATGGACATTGTCAGCAACAACATTCAGGTAAGCTGTGGTGCTTAAATAATGTTCAGTTGGTATTAAGAGGCCCAGAGTGTGCCAAGAAAAGATCTCCTATACCATTACATACCACCACCAGCCTGAACCGTTGATACAAAGCAGGATGGATTCAAGCTTTCATGTTGTTTACTCCAAATTCTGACCCTACTATCTGAGTGTCACTGCAGAAATTGAGACTCAGCAGACCAGGCAACATTT